GGGGGGCGGCAGGCACGGGGGCTAGCGGCCCCCTCAACCTACCTGCGACAAGCCCAGGTGCACCGAGGCAGTCTCCGAGATGTACATGATCTTGCCATCAGGAGCCACGACAAATATGAAACCGTCCAACGTCTGCGGGAAAGGGTGGAGGGGCGGGAAGTGTCAACAGATCAACAGACAGACAGATAGATCCACTGACGAAGACAGATAGATCCGCGAAGTACCTGTCCCTCGGATTTATTCCAGACATCAGGCACGCCTGTTCAGGCTGTGATTATTCAAACAGTTGGAAGGAAACGGGCAAATCCTGGGCAGCAAACCCTCCAAAGCTCCTGGCCCCCTGAGTTACAACCATTTCTCAGAGGGGCCGCACTCAAAAGCAACACAAAGTCCCTAGGATGTAAGCAGAGACCCTGGCTACCTGGTGACTAATATGTCTGTCCCAGAAACCCCGAATGCTTCTATCCGATTTTAAATGTCACTGGGGGCTTAGCGATTGGGTGCTTGCTAAGGAGAGTCTAAGCGATTTGTCAGACACGTTTCAGGGGACATAGCTGGGTGTGCCGAGGGCAGAACGGGCTGCCAAAAGGCCACACCACCCCACCTCGAATGCGTCGTGACAGCAACGGCTAACACTCCTTAACGTTTCAGCCCGCCGTGAATTTTCAAACGTGTCCTACCTGATTCGTATCTAGGCTAATTTCTGTGCCTTCGGAGCCCTGCTGTCCGGGACAGCCTCCCCCGGCCTGCCTCCAGAGCCTCTCCCTGTCTCTGCACCGCCCCGAGCTGCAGCGCATCGGCAGGGCTTGTCCCCTGTTTAATCACTCGGGGAAGAGTCACCGCGCCCCGTACCGGGGTAAGCTGCGGATCCCTCGCTGCGGGCCCTGGGTTGGACGATGCCGGGGCAAAGGACCCCGAGGGGCCAAACCGCAGCCCCGTTACAACTCACGACATCCAGCCGCGACGCTTCGTGTTGTTCCCCTCCCGCCCCCCTTTTTATTAAACAAGTGAACAGTTAAATATTAGCCAAGGTGGCAATTAAAAACTCAGAAGAAGGAATGATTTCTTTAATCATTAATACCATATGGCTGTCGTTTCCAGACCAGTACCTGCAAAAGATGGGATCCCAGTTCCCGTCCAACATTATCCAGCGGGCTGGTTCGGCTGGAGTGGCCCCAGGCTTCTCCAAGTCCTGCTTATTTAAAATACACAAAAAGAGTAAGGTGAGGAGAAGAAAAATTGTCTCGTCTTGGGCTGCTGGAGAGGAACTTTTTTTTTTCGCTTGTGATCGCTCTAAAACACGCATACTTAGCATCTTTGGAAAACTAGCTATGAATTCGTTCCACAGAGAAGTGTCTTTCGTGGGTTTTTTTTTTTCAAAGACCTGATTCCCGTGGGAGAAAAATACCGAAACACCAATTTTGAGCCAATGGTGAAGTTCATCCCTAAGAAGCAAGTGAAATAGAGTGGCAGATGAAGGGGCTTTTTGCCGCTGCTTTCAGATACCGGGACCTGGCTCCCTGGACTGCAGGGAAAGCGCCTTTCCCGTAACGTCACCAGAGGGATCCTGGACGACACTGGGAGTTCTTTAAAATGAAAGCAAGGGGTGTGTTGGGGGAAGCCTTTGATGTGGAGAGACGGATGCGGTGAAGGTGGCAGGACGGTGACTGGGAAGCGCAGCCCCTTGGGAGCCCCCGGGCCCTGCCTGCGGGTGCTCCCCCCCCACACCCCCGCAGAAGGCAGAGCTCGGCCGCAACCTGGCGGGTGTTAGCCAGCAAGCTGAGGAGGGGAGCGACAAGGACGGGCTTGGACTCCCTGCTCGCCAGGGATCACTTTCCAGGCCGATCTGTGGCCTCATGCCTCCTGCTCTCCTCGGGGCCACCGTCCTCTCACCTGGAAGGCTTTTAATCACTTATTTGGGGAGGGACCGAGAGAGGAGAGACCAGGTGCGACTCCTCCAGCCCTCCCCGAGCCCGGTGTCAAAACGCTTTCTCCTTTCGCCATCCCCACTCCAGCTCACGAAAAGCGAACCGGCTGCCTCCCAGCCGGGCGCCGTCTCACCGCCGCGGGAAAGGACATCCGAGGCGGCTCACGGAAGGGCCTCG